GGGGACTTGGCCTTCTCGGGGGACTTGGCCTTCTCTGGAGACTTGGCCTCTTCCTTCACTGGGGACTTGGCCTTCTCGGGGGACTTAACTTCTGCTGGGGACTTTGCCTTCTCAGGAGATTTTACCTCAGTTGGTGATTTTGCTTCTTCCTTCACTGGGGACTTGGCCTTCTCAGGGGACTTGGCTTCTTCCTTCACTGGGGACTTGGCCTTCTCTGGGGACTTCACTTCAGCTGGAGACTTGGCTTCTTCCTTCTCGGGGGACTTGGCCTCAGCTGGCGATTTTGCTTCTTCTTTCACGGGGGACTTAGCCTTTTCTGGGGACTTGGCCTCTTCCTTCTCTGGAGATGCAGCCTCTTCTGCTGGGGGAGACTTTGCTTCTTCTTCTCCCGCTTCTTCCTCTTTGGCCTCTTTCACCTCTTCTTCAGTCACTTCTTCAGTCACTTGGATCTCCTCTGTCTGTTCCTCCAATATCACAGTTTCCTTCTCTGACTTTTCTACTACCTTGATCTTCTCTTCACTTTTGACCTTTATGTGAGTGGGCATGGAGGGGATTTTGGGGAGTCCTTCTGGAAGGGCGAAAGGACTCGGGCCAAAGCCAATGCGACACTCCTCGCCCTCCAGGAGTTTTCTGCAGAATGGATAATGGAATACGTTACTATTAACCCAAAGCAGACTGATGATCTAGGGGTCTTCTTGAGTTACTCTGAAGGTCCATGGCCTCCAATGATACAGACTTTAGCAAAAGAAGGAATGTGAATGGTGGGCACTTTGAAACTGGAGAAAGTCACTTAGTAAACCATTCCAGGGACCACCCAGAATCTGCACCCCAACGTCACTGCTCTTGTTTAATGCAGCTAAGGCTGCAACTTACGAAATAAAACAACTTTTTTTTTTTTCCTGAAAAATGGTCCTCGAGAGAGTGCCTACATTAACAAAAATTACATTTATTGTCCCTCAACTAACACGCTATTCAAGAGAAAGGTGAGAGCCTCAGCAACCAATTCCACATTTATAAATTTGGGTTCAAGAGGTCTTACAATGTTCCCATTTGAATTTCAAGGGTCTCCTGCAACCTTATATTCTCATCCTTTGAGTTTTAGGAGTAGGGTGACAGCAGCAGTTTCTACTCTCTGCCACTCACTAGATGTGTGACCTTAGCCAAGCCAGTCCAACTCTTTAAGCTTCAGTTTCCTCATTGGTAAAAACAGGTCCTAAGAATCTCTACATCAGAGGGTTGTTTCAATGAGATAACGAATAAAAAGGACCTGGCAGTTCCTGCCTCAGAGTAAGTGTAGGGGTGACCCCTATAGACCAGTGCTTTGCAAATTTAATGGCATACAAATCACCCAGGGATCTGATTAAAATGCAGATTCTGATTCAGTAGGTCTGGGATACAGCCTGAGAATCTGCCTTTCTGATAAGCTTGTGGATGATGCTGAGTGTGCAGGTTCGTGGACGAGCTTTGAGTAGCAAGATTACAGACTAGAGCAAAGAGGTAGAAAGTGAAGGGTCACCAGCCAGCAACTGGGAGAGGTCCTCAGGGAGTCAGCCTTGCTCCTTAGCAGGAAATGGCTATGCTGGGAGGTCTCATGGCTTTCTCATGGCTACTATTTCTCGAGGGCTTTCTCTGTGGCAGCCCAGTGGTACCTTTGTTACCTGGATTAGCTCCTGAACAGGATTAGCTCCTCCTCCCAACAACCCCATGACATGGGTAGTGTTATAACCCCCAGTCTATTTCCCCAGGAAACAAATGCTCAGAGAGCTAAGAAACTCTGAGAGAGAGAATTGGAAGGGCCCCTGAAAGCTCAAGTACCTCCCTTCCCTCCAAAGCAGGCCCCTGGTTGGCTGGATTGGGGAGGATGTGAGGAGCTTGAACCCTCCAAGTCATTATCAGAATGAAAATAAGCTACTCAAAATTTTTGTCTCTCAGAAAGTAGGTGGTTGCCAGGGCCGGGAAAATGGGGGAAGGGGGAGTGGGAAGTTACTGTTTAACGAGCTGAGTTTCACTTTGGGATGATGAAAAAAGTCTTGGAGATAGATGGTGGCAATGGTTGCACAACAATGTAAATATATTTAATGCCACTGAACTGTATACTTAAAAATGGTTAAATGGTAAATTTTATGTCATATGCATTTTACCTCAATAAAAAAAATTTTTTTTGTCTCTAAGACAGGCAGGCTGCCTCACTGGGGGCTTGAAACCCAAGGCTTAGTTCCTCATAAAGAAGGAGGGCTCACAAGGGTTCCCCACCACCCTGAAGGCCCCGCGGCCCACCTCACCTGTAAGCGGCAATCTCAATATCCAGGGCCATCTTGACATTAAGCAGGTCCTGGTACTCTCGGAGCTGGGCTGCCATCTCCCACTTGGTGTTCCTCAGCTCGGCGTCCAGCTGCTGGATAGCTTCCTGGGGAGGAGAGGTCACATACACATCATGTGCCAGCCAGTGCCTGGCCCTCAGCATCGGAGAAGTTGAGGGGGGCTATGCTAACCCAAAGCAGTCCCGTCCAACCGGGCTCTCTGGGGCCAACACCTGCCCTGTCGAAGCTGCAGGGGCCTCATCCATTGGACATGGAAACCACCCAGAGCAAAAATCCTGCTGTGTATATAACCTTAGCCTGGAGAATGGTCTGGAACGAAACACACCAGATGCCAACAATGGTTATCACTGTTCAGTGGGATGATGGGTGAATTTTTACAGATCTCTTAAGCTAAGAAAATGTTCAGTGGGACCAGAGCCTTGTCTGTTTTGGCTCCCTATTGTTTCCCTAATGCTCCAAAGTGCATGCCACATAGGAAGGGCGTGGGAAGCACCTGCTGTTGATGACTGAAACAACACACAGATGCACACAGTAAATACGGGTTGAAGCTTCTCCCCGTCCCCAGGCCCACTTAGCCACTGCTTAAAGAGAACCATTAAGGCTGATTTTTATTGCCTCTTTTTTTCTTCCTCCATTTCCTAATTCTTCTACAATCACTACATATTACTTGCATAATAAGTTCTTCAAAAGTGATATTTTCGTTTGCCAGTTGTCTTTAATGCAGAGACTCTGCCAAGGCTTTCCCCAGGCTAACTCACAGACGCTGCTTATTATTTACCGAATGCCCACTGTGATCAAGACCCCGCTAAGCATGTTCACACTCATCTCATGAAAAGTCTGTCTATCTCTTTAACCTTCACAGCTCTGCACAGCAGGCATTCTTTTTTTTTTTCATTGCATTGAAAGAATTCAGATTCAGAGAGACAGATAATTTTCCTGGGGTCACACAGCTAGAAAGACATACTGGTACCCCTGGTATGTCTGACTCCAAGGCCCATGGTCTTAGCCACCGCAACCCTGCTGGGAGAGGGGCAGTGTCTTGTCCAGGGTCACTCAACCAGGTGGGGCAACCTGGCTCTCTGTCTCAGCCCTGCCCACCTGGTAGGATGCGATGTCAGCCTGATGACGGTCCTCCAACTCAGAGCGCTGCCTCTCTAGCGAGTCCTTGGTGCCTTTGAGTGCCTCTAGCTCTGTGGTCCTGGCCTGCAGCTGGCGCCGGTACTCAGTTATCTCCTCCTGTGCTGTGCGCATGGCGTCTGTGTTCACCTTGGCTGCCTCGGACAGTCGGTCCAGCCTCACTGGGGGAGAAGATGGCAGGGCACAGGGTTAGACATACCCGGATTTGGGTTCTAGAGTATCTAGTGATACACATGGACTGAGGACCTACTGGGTGCTGGGTACCATCTTGGATGCTTAACTCACCCTATCCTTTGTGATAGGCAAATGACTACTGCCCAACGCCACTCAGCTAGTGAGCAGCAGAGCTGAGGTTCAAATCCAATGTCTACTGGCTCCAAAGATCAGACTCTGTCTCTCCCATCTCAGAATCCAGAAACTTGCAGGGCAGAGGAAGCCCCCATTTCTGGTCTTAACACCTGGTTCAGCTCCCCAGCAAGGGCTGGCAGTGCTAGGCGTTCAGATGTGAAACCTGGCCCACAGGGCTGAACTCTGAGCTTGTGGCTGAACAAGTTAATGAACTGGTGACCTTTGGAGGCCTGAGGGCCTTGTGAGCCACCATGTAGCCACAGCCCCTTCCTTGCAGGTTTCTGCTGTGCAGAGCCCAAGGTCACTGCAGAGCCTGGGGCCTGCGTGCCAGTTCCTCTGTCCCTTCCTCCACTTGGCTGTGCATTCACTAGCACAGGAGCCCCTGCGTCAATGGCAGCCACACCCTGGCCCCTGTGAGCAAGGAGCTGCTGGTTCCCAGAACACCTTCTGGGGCCAGAGGAGGTCTGGAGACTAGTCTACATCTCCTGAAAGTGAACGTCCTGAATCCCAAGATAGTGACACCCAGGACCTGGCGATTGGGAGTGGGAAAAGAAGAAGGGAAGCTAGCTGGGTGGGCCAGGAGTCCTGGGATGGTCTGCCTGTATGAAGGGCAAAGCCCAAGAGAGCAGAGAGCCTTGCTGCAGAGATGGGGGAGGGGACGCTTCTACCACTGCAGAGGGGAGGAAAAGGAACAGGAAAAGCCATGAAGCCAAATCCCAGCTTTCCTGGCTTTCCCTGCTAGTGCCGGCAGAGACTTAGAAACCATCCAGGTGGGTGAGGATTCTTATCCATTGTGGATCACAGGCCCGTTTGAAAATCGTTGAAGCCTCTACACCCGCTCCCAAGAACAATGCAAAAGTTTTATACACAGTTTCGGGAAGGATCATGGAGCTCCCCAGAGTAAGAAGCCCAACTGGTCGACCCCCACACCTTCAACCCAAAAAGAAAGAAAAACCAGAGAGGGCAAATGTTGGTCAAGATCACCCTGCAGGCGCTGGGCACAGCTTCAGAACTGCTGCAGCTGCAATCTAGCTGACTCAGGGCGGCAGGGAGTTGGGGGAGGGGGCGAACTTGGGAGGCTGCCAGATTCTCTGAAGGGGAGAGGGGACATTAAAGGGCAACCTCAGGCACCGACTGGTTGTGGTGATGGTCCCCCCTGGGGAGAAAGGATGTGAGAATGCCTCACCCCTCCCCAATGTAGTGGGGAGGAGACTGAGGTCCCCTCCAGCGTGCAGGAAAGGAGGATGAGCAACCTTGGGCAGGGAAGGCAAGTTACTTTGAAGGACAAAGAATCCCCAAGCGCCTGGGACCAGAAGCCGGCACTGCTTTGGTGCTGTAGAGGGAACCTGATAGAGAGGGGCCTCAGAGTGGGGTTTCCTAACCTTGGGAGGGGGAGCAGAGGGGACCCAGAGCTGAAGGACAGATATAAGGACTCTACAGGAGGGGAACCAAAGGGGAACCCAGAGTTGCGAGGAGGCACGGGGTGTCCCACAACAGACCCAGAGGGAAACCGTTATCTAACTAAGGGGTCTGCACACTGCAGGAGGAAGCTGAGCAGGGCTCTCTCCAGTCCTGCCACCTCCGCGCAGAGTCCACCACCGTCCCCTCCCCTTACGCCACTCTGCCCCTCGCTGCCCGACCAGCAGGGGGCGCCCCCTCCTCCCCACTCCCACGCGCCTACCTCGGAACCACTCCTCGGACTGCAGCGTGCTCTGCACCGCGTGGCCTTCGAGCTGCGCGCGGATCTCGCGCAGTGCCGACGTCACGTCGCACTTCAGGGCGTCGCGCGCTTCGGCCTGCGCCTGCGCCTGCGCGGCGCTGGAGCCCTGGATCTGGCCGAGCAGCTCGCCCACCTCCTCCTGGTGGTGACGCCGCAGGTAGCCGCACTCCTCCTGCAGCGCTTGCGCCTTCTTCTGCAGCTCGACGCGCGCCGCTTCGGCCTCCTGCGCAAAGCGCGCGAGTGCGCGCGCCGCCGCCTCAGCCTCTTCGCGCTGCCGGGCCTCGTCGTCTAGGCGCTGGCGCACGTGCGCGATGTCCTCCAGCAGGTGCTCCTGCTCCAGGCGCAGCTGGCCGCGCGCCGCGCCCAGGCGCAGCACGGCGCCGCGCATCTCGCGCACCTCGCGCTCGTACAGCTCGCCCATGGCGGAGCGGCCTGCCTGCTGCTGGCGCAGCGCCGCCGCCTCGCCCTCCAGGCTGCGGTTGTGAGCTTCGAGCTGCCGCACCTTGTCGATGTAGCCGGCGAAGCGGTCGTTCAGCGCCTGCAGCTGCTCCTTCTCGCTGCGGGCCACCACCACGCAGCCCTCCGGTCCGTTGCTCAGCGTGTCTAGAGAGTCGGTGCTTGAGGCTCCGGCGCCGCGGAAGCGTGCGGGTGAGGCGGTCACGGAGCTCACAGATGTCCGCGCCCACGAGTGGAAGCCGCTAGACGAGCCGGCAGCGGAGCGCATTCCGCCCGCGCCGCCCTTGCGGGACAGCGCGTAGTGCAGGCTGCCGCCTCCATGAAGCGGCGCGAACGGGGCGCCCAGCAGCGCGTCCGCGCCGCTGAAGCTCATCATGGCCGGAGCAGGTGCGGCCGCCGGCGGAGAGAGAGCTCGAGGCCGGGACGGGGCGGGTGGCACTGCGGCAGCACCGGGATGCCGGCCTTTTTATAGCAGCCCGGCCGGGTCCAGCCCCTCGGCAGTTGCGGGGGGGGCAGCGGGGGAGGAGGGCCCCGCCCTCTCCGCCTCCTCCCCCTCGGCCCCGGGCCGGTCGGCTTCGCCGCAGTGAGAGGGGCGGGGCAGGGGGACCAAGGAGTGAAGGGGAATCGGTGCCGCGTCAGAGAAGCCCCCCGAGGTCGGGTCAGAGCGTAGAGGACTCCCGGAGTGGACCAGCGGGGACCCCCCCGCCCCGTGCGTGTGGGAAGACCCTGCTACTGTGTTCAGGATAAGAGAAGGGGCTCAAAATGGGAAGAAGACGAGGAGACCTGATGGGAATAGGGATAGGGTGCCTTCGGGATGGAGCGATGGGAGACTCTAGTCAGTAGGATGAGGGACCCCTGAATGAGAGGGGAGCACAAGATTTTCCTAATAGTTAGACCCTCAGGATAGGGGGTACAGAGTGTCTGCCCCTGGCCCCCGGAATAGGGGAGGGAGCAAGGTAATCCTGAATGGAGGCATGGTGGATGCTACAGAGGGTAGAGATAGAAGACCCTTGAGTAGAGGTACACTTTTCCCCTAATAGCTAGAGGCGCCACCAGGAGAGGGCTTAAGAAACTCTGCAGCCGGCTCCAGAACAGGGGAGGGGGACGTGGAGTTGGGGAGGGGAGCAAGGCAACCCTGAATTGGGGGTATGGAGACACGGCAGAGGATGGAGAGAGGGAAGCCCGGATGGCGGCACAGTGGTCTCCGCAGGAGAGGAGGCGAGAGATCCTGCAGCTGCCCCAGCAAGGAGGACCCTCAGTGAAGGGAGTAGAGGGTCCCCTGAATAGGCAGGAGGAACCTGGGCTATGTGTGAGGGTCAGAGAACCCAGACTGGGGTGCTGCGGGGGACTGGGCATGAAGTTGGGAGAGCTGGCCCCTCTGTGGGGTGGGGGTAAGTGACAGGTGTGCTAGAAGTCACTCAGGCCAGGGTCTGTACACTGAGGTCAGCTCAACAGTTTGCTGGTCAAATGACCTTGGACAAGTTGTGTACCCCCACCCTCGGTTTTCCCATCTGTACAGAAAGGAGGCCTTGCCCTGGGACAGGATGCAACTCAAGACCCCATCTCCCCAGCAGCTTCTGCTTTGGGGGTTCTCTGGCTGAACTGAGGGAGAGGAACCTGCGTAGTGCCCGTGGTTGTGACAACTGTTTTCCCACAACTAGGAAGTCCATCTTTCTCACTCTCTCCTCCCCATCTCCTTAGCTTCAACTTGTCATCTCTCCCCCACCCTCACAACAGACAAGTGGGTACCAGGATAGGCATCTCTTCTCTCCCCCAGGGAAATGATGGAGTGCTTTTGAAGTACCAGAGTCCCTCACCCCCATAAGCCCTAATTGGGGATTAGGTAGAAAAAGGGGTCCCTGGGATATGGGGGGCCCTGCAACTGCTGGTGTTATTTGGCTTTTTCTTGGGTTTGGCTCATGTCAAATGCCTTTGGAGTGGGGCAGCGCTGCTGTTGGTGCTTCGGCTCCAGGGACAGGGCCTGCTCCTTGTTGGGGAGAAAAGGGTTAACGCCTGCCTTTACCTTGGGGGGAGGGGAGGGAGGTATGCCATTTCCCCCTTGCCTGACCCCTGTGCTGTGCAGTTGGGGACCTAAGGAGGGGTGGGTGAATGATCAGGCAGGGTCACACCAGGAGCCAGGGACCCAGTCCTTCGACCTTCTGTTAGGGGTCCAGTCCCCTATTTTCTGTGAAGTTCTCCCCTCTATACAATTGGACTGTCCTGCTCCTCTATTGGGAGCTGAAAGGATCCCCCACAGATGCCAGATGCCAGAAAAGACCCTTGAGTCCCTCTGGGGAGTCAGTGTAGACTCCCCCACCCCAGATCTGAGCCTCCCCCAGGAAGTTATCTCAACCCCCACTACATTTCCAGTTTACACTGGTTTTCCTGTGGGATCCCCAGGATGGGGAAAGACAGACCCCCCAGGAAAGACTTCTGCCAGGTCTTTCTTTTCTCTTTGCCTTCCACCTCATTCCCAGACCCCTGGTTCTAAGCAGACCCTCAGAGATGGGGAGTGATGGTGCTGTCCCTTTAACCACGTTTTACTGGAAGGAGAGTGCGCTGGGAGGAGGCAGGAGGGGGAAGGGAGTTTCTGGTTTTGCATGGAGAAGCAGAACATGATGAAGCATTTTTCTCCCATTTAAAGATCCAGTCATGCTCCAGTTTGCAGGGGATGGAAGGGCTGGTTTGCAGTTGGTGCTGGGAGGATGGAGGTGAGTGTCTGGTCTGAGGCTTCTGAGAGTGGTACTTGGGGGGCTTGAGCAGGGCCCCCATGCTCTCACATGGCTCCCCATTTCCTTGTCATTCTGCTTGGAATTTTGCCATTAGAGCCTTGTTCCTTTGGGTCTGTTCAGTCATCTGCATAATGCGGATACATCCTCTGGGTGTGGGAAGGCTGGCAAGCAGCTGACAGCAAGGGAGAGTGGTGGGATGGGCAGGGAGATATAGGGGAGGGGGCCAAGCCTGTCAAGGCCAGGGGGCCACAACTGTGGGATCTGTGGTTGTAGATTCCAAGCAAGAAGCTGCCTGTGGATTCCAAGCAAGAAGTCCTAAGCATGATTCCTGTGGCTGGAAAAAATGACGTGAGGGTGGGAGCCCTGAGTTCAGTTCCCCAAAGGGCCCTTCAAGATCACCTCTAGGAAGCTATCCCAGGCCTCCTTTACCCCCACATTTAGTTAATTAACCCCTCCATGGTCCCCAGTGCTAATTCGCTGCATCGCTCTTACCACTCTGTGTTTTTATTGGGTGAATGAACGTATGGATGACTAAGTTCCATCAGTTCTCCAGCCAAACTTGTGGTCTAGAGGGAACTAAAAATGATTCTGCCCCAAGTCCTTGGGTCTCAAATCACTTTCATCTTCCTCCCCTCAATTCTTACCATTTGGAAGTGAGTAAAACACCATATTCATTCATTCGTCCACCATATTCATTCATTCGTCCATCCATCTCATGTTTACTGAACACCTGCTGTGTGATAGGCACACACAAGGCACTGAGGTTACAGAACCCTATAAGCCTCTAAAATTGTCTCCCCGAGACAAGGATCCCCAAGTCCTTCCCAAATACCAGTCCATCATTTCCCAAAGCACCTTCTTGAGGATGATAATGTGTCCTCCAAAAAGGAGAGGAAAAGAAGAGTTTCATGGCTAATGGAGTTAAACAGGGCTCTCAGAGCCTGGACTTGGTGATGAGCGTTGGGACTCTCCCAGAGGTGAGTCAAGTGTGCTGAGTTCCCCAAACTTGTTTGACCACAGGCCCTTCTTACCCTCAAGTGTCTCCCACGGTGGCCCACACTGAAGGACCCACTCAGAATTGGGCTCCAGCCTCTGTTCTCCCTGGGCTGTCATGTGGGCTCCTGTGGACCCCAAGGTTAGTGCTGTTTAGGAACAGAGCTGCAGTGTGAAGGATAAAGCAGTACAGCTCTCTGTGAACATCGGCTAAGCATTGCTGTCACTCACTGTATTCATTCAGCATCCACAGGATTAGACCTTGTGGTGAGCACTGGGGACTCTGAATAATGAGACCCTAGTGAGGGTGAATCCTCCCCCATGTGTACAGCAGAGAGAACTCAGCCACCACTTTCTCCTTGGTAGGTCCTCAAACCTGGTTCACAAGGCAGGGATCATTGTCCCTATTTTATAGATGAGTAAACTGAGGCCAGAGTGAGGAGGTGGGTTGCCTGAGTTGAACCAGTGATCCATCAGAGGTGAGCCCAGTGTCTCAAATCATCCAGGCCTAAGCTGGTGCTGGACACACGGGGTGGAAACCCATTTCTCTGGCACAGTAAAGGGGCCCGGATGACCTGAGGGCGGAGGAATGAGAGGTCCCCAGAGAAGGAACAGGTAGCTGGCTGGGGTTGGGGTCTGGCCTCTGACAGGTCGCCCAGCTGAGAGTCCCTGCGACCTGTGACCCAGTGTCAGCACATCGTTTATGTGGGGGCTCACTGCCAGCCTGGGCATCCTGCACCACTGTGTCACCTCTCTGGGGAACAGCAGGTGGCCACTGTTTGGGGGTACATTTGCTAAACTCCTCATTCTCTTCCTGCTTTATTTTTCTCCATAGAACGTGACGTTTCTAACATGGGAAATTCTACTATCTTGTCTCCGCCCATAGAATGTAAGCTTCATGAGGGCAGGGATTTTTGTCTGTTTTATTCACTGCTGTTTCTCCAGCTCATGGAACAATGGCTGGCATAGTGTAGGTGCTTAACAAGTAGTTGTCCAATGGCTGAGCAGCCCTGCCTGCGAGGCTGGTAATCACCCGGACATTTCAGCACCAGGCATCCGGACAGTTCCCGGCCCGCTGAGCCCTTAGAGGGAGGCCCCTGCAGGGTGTCTGCGAAAGGTGGGCTTGAAAGTGCGGCCCTGCCCTCAGGCTTGGAGTCTCTCAGCCTGAGCTGTGGTCAGCTTTGCTGGGGCTCAAGCCCTGCTCACTCCATTGCCTGCAAACTCCCCTCACTCCTAGTATTACCTTTTCCTTCTTGAGTTCAGCAATTATTTTTATATATCTATGAAGCACTGAGCCTTTCTCTTTCTCCTTGCCTCTCTTCCCCTTTAGTGCCCCACATTCTCTGTCTCTCCCTGCCTTGCCCCCTCCTTTCTCCACTTCTTTCTCTTTCCCCTCTCTGTGCCTTCTCCCTCTGTTACATCCCTCCTTCCTCTTTCCCCCTAATTTCTCTGTCCTCCTTATCCCTTTTTGCCTGCCTCCCCTCTTCCTCCTCCCCTTCCGTAGAGGTGTCCTATTTCTGCATAGCTTGATTTATAGTAAAGAGGAGGCAGCCTCCCTCCCCCTACTCCCTTTATGAAGCAGACCGCACAAAGTGAACTACGTGCAGTTTTGCATAAACCTCCCCCTCCTAGTGTCCACCCACAGTCTTAACCACCAGGGGACTGGCCCAAAGCGATGAAAGCCTGCAGCAGGCCTG